GAGTGGAACCTTGTGAGATTTTCTCTACCCATGCTGGTCTGTTGACTGGTGGTATTATTATTATTATTATTATTATTATGCAGGTCTTATTTAGGCCACCATATTGTGGTGATCGTAGGTGCAGCTTCCCTGTTGAATATAGAGGACACCATCTTGCACTCCTGTTTAAGCTGTTTTTATTTAGTGTATCCGTGATTCACAACAAAAACTAACCTTCCTAAATACTACTGGTAACAATGAGAATACCACATGTGGAGAAGGACAGAGAGCATCCAAGTAGATCTGATTAGGAAAGAAACGGCATTGCAGCAATGTTTACACAGCTCACTGCACCTCAAGAATGGGTAAAGCGATCAGGAGAGAAAGGTGGGGTAAAAAAGAATAGACAGAAAAAAATGAGTAACAATGAAAAACACATTTCTGACATGAATCAGTTCTACATACATTTGAGAAATGTTAAGTAGCTGGAGACTATCAAAAATAAAGTGGCTGTCTGGGCTCGTGGGCAGAGGCAGCAGTGTTAGCGGCAGGTTGCAGCAAAGCATTAGGTGTGATGTCTCACGCCATTTTGCTGGCTTCGCCTGCCAAGAGTCCAGAAGGCAGGATTTGCACTGACTATGAGTCTGTGAATGAGTGCATCGAAAGTATCTGTAAAAATGTGTAAAGAAAAGAATGGAACCCTACGTCTCTCATCACACAGGATACTGGTCAGATACTTGACTTCATCAACGATCGGGCAGATCTCAACTGTCTCCTTCACAGAGCTGATGCACAGGTGTATCAGCCTTGTAACGAAGACTGCGTCAAATAGAAGACTTATGTGCTTCCTTCACCGACACCCAACAGGCTGGGAAGTAATTAAATTGGAAGCATGGGGTTGGGGCAGGCTTGGAGCGGGTGTGTACGAGGAGCTGTAGTGAGCATTTTCTACGACACTAATCTTGCTTCCATTTTGTTACACTCCAACCTGACTGAATGTCTGGCAATAAAACGTGAATGATATTTTCACTCTGAAAACAAAACAAAACAAAACATTGCCCACATTGCTGCTTTTGTCTGTTCGTTTCACTTAAACATTATTATTTTAATTCAGATAGAAAGTGTTCTTTGCCAGTTAAGGCTGGTACCAGTCGCTTGAAAAGGTTTGGATCTTCTTTATAGCAGTGAGTGAGCTAACGCGACAAGGTTAGTTATGTCTCTGGGAAAGTCTTAGTAAAAAATAAATGTTATGGGGAGGGGAGAATAAAGTGAGTGTTTCCAGCCAAAAATGTTTGGCTAGATAGAATGGATAGTGAAGGCTTTCAAACTGTAGTACAATGAATACGGACGTCATCCTTTATATAACGGCGATACCACGGTGGCCTTAAAAAGTGCCTTAGAGATTAAGCAGCAGGAAGTGCATATGGTTGGTGTCTCAGTTGCTGATCTCTAGAGGCCACTTTCGAGGCCATGCCTCCCAGGGATGTTCCAAGACTGAGCCCACCGGGACACTAAATCAAAACTGTTCTTCTGAGATCCATGATCCTACAGCCAAGAAAACTTCAGCTGGAAGGCTCCCCAGAAACACCGCTAGGCTTTCCTTAGGCTTTGCAGCTGTCTAAGACAGGCGCAACCTCCCTCCCTTCGTTCCTCCACACCCCACAGATCACAGGACCGGATAGGACAATCAGGTTGACCCCACTGGCCTCTCCTACATCATTATCCCCTTTCGTTTTCTAGAGCATGCTGTGTTCTCTAGGAAGATCTGCACATTCAAACGGGTCTTGGCATCTCCTTCCGGAAGCGCTGGGCTAAGTCGTACATTTCAACATTTGCAGAGTAGGTATCAACAGAGCTGCATAAGGGAAAATTCCTGAGAAAGCAGGGGAAGGGAATTTGGGGCAAGATAAGGCTTTCTGAGTTGCAGAAGTTCACAGGAACCATTGTAGGCTGGTGTGAACCCAAAACACACCCGGGACAGCAACCACAAGCTACAGGGAAGGTTTCTGAAGAAATTTTTACAGGTATGAGGCTCTTTTGAGCCTTACTGAAATTCTATCACTACAGAGGAAGAAACTGAGGCTTCAGAGATCAAGGAAATCACACAATAGCTAGTTCACCGAAGTACCTGTAGCTAAAGATAGTCTGAGTTCTACATTCTTCCACTTGATGCCTGCTATCTTTGCACTGGAATTTTTCTCACTTTAAAAAGTAGTAGGGGATAGGAACTCCACAGGAAGACCAACACAGTCAACTAATCTGGACCCTTGGGGCTCTCAGAATCTGAACCAACAACCAAAGAGCACACACAGGCTGGACCTAGGCCTTCCTGCACATATGTAGCAGATGTGCAGCCTGACTTCATGTGGTCCTGTACAACTGGAGCTGGGGCTATCCCAAAAGCTGTTGCCTGTATGTGGGATATGTTCTTCTAGCTGGACTACCTTGTCTGGCCTCAGTGGGAGAGGAAGCCCCTAACAGAGATTTGAAGTGCCAGAGTGGGGGTGGGGGTATACCCAGGGGTCTCCATCCACTCAGAGGAGAAAGGGAGAGGGGAATTGGGGAAGGATTGTGGGAGTAGTAACCGGGAGGGGAGGGGAGCAGTAAGCAAGATATAAAGTGAATAAGTAAAAAATGAAATTAGATAAAAAAGAGAGGGCACAATGTTTTCACATTTAATAACCAATAACAAGCACTAGTTAGTATAAACAGACTAATATGAAAGAGAAAATCTATGTGCTTATAACTTCATAATTAAAAGTCACATTTATTTAAGAAAAATAAATATCATTAGGATGGAAATATCGCCTGAGACTAATAGAACTAAAATAGCTCCTGAAAATAAAGCGTTAACACAAACTCCAGCATGGAAGTATCACAGCACAGAAAGGAAACTTCCTACCATCTGGAAATGTACCCTACTTCTGGAATCTGGAGTGACAAGCCAACTCTAAAGACCCTACTAACTTCATCTCACTTACGTAACAATTCTAATAAAGAAATACAGGGTTCATGGGAATAGTAGTTTATATTTTGATATCTAACATTTGAAAACTGTAGTCAATTTTATTTAAGCATAGAAAAGAAAATAATCTAAAAACAGACCTGAATACTCATCCTTCATTATTGTAGGCAGGGTCTCTAGTCCATGTTGCCTATGGACGGCCTGTGGAGCTAAGGATGACTGTGTGACCCGACCTCCTCACCATCTCCATCTCTGGAGTGCCAGGATTACATGCGTGTGCAACCATACCTGGCTTTTGCAGTGTTAACGATCAAACCCAGGGCTTTGCACATGCTCAGGAAGTACTTTATCAAGCAGGTTGAAGCCCTAGGCTCAGGACCCATGACTTTCAACCAATAGAGACGAGCTTAAGAATGAAAATGATTTCTCTAACTGTTAACAAAAATTGTACAACACTTCATCTCATGGATGAGTTCTGAACTAGCAAAATGTTTAGTACTCAGAAATGGAGAGTACCAAATCATCGTGCCATCAGTAATCAATTATAGGAATATAATATATGCAATATAAAATATAATACATTATATAATATCATAGACATTAAGTATCAATATCAACACTTTGTCAAAATGTTAAAGTTAATAAATACCTTTTATAGCTCAGTTTTCATAAAGTTAAGCCAGATAGCTAATTTTATTAATAAATCATTTTAAACAATTTTATCTCATGAATAAATGGTCTTTTACTGCATCATTAGAATAAAAGTTAACTTTAAAACAATAGGCTGACAAAAGCCATTGACAATGAATGGTTTCCATTGCCATAATATTAGTTTAAAAATCAGTTAGAATTTGTCTCTTTTAAAATAACCACACTAGCATATTTATCCCATATAAAAATATTTTATAAGTAACTTGGAATGGTAGATAATTAAAAATGGTATCTTCCATTTGGCCTACAGAGAGAATTTATCAAAAAGAAACCAAACATTTATAAATCTTTGCTTTTGCTGTTTTTAGAATGTATATTTACCAGCAGAGGTCACTCTTACACTAGGTTTGTCCAGCTATCATTAAATATTGGAAGATACTGGTTGAATTTGTAATGAAAATCAAAATGTGGATATGAAAGTTTGCTTAAACAGATACATGCTGCAGCATGAGTCCAAAAGGCGCGCCTTGTTTTCTCCTTTTAACAAGCAGCGTCCTAACTCATTTTGTCCTAAGGAGTAAAGGCAATGAGGTGTAATAAGGAATGCATACTTACTCATATTTACATATAGCAACAAAAGCAACAAAGTTGTTACACCATCTTAGAATCATCATATACATAGCTTTTAAGAGGTGAAAAGTATGATAAATGCTTAACAATTTCTAGTACCTCATTTTGGTAGATTTCTGTTCTTTAGAATATCCTATCACTTAAGAGAACAATAACGGGTTTTGGTACGGTGAAAAAAAATATTAGTAAGAACATTTAGTAGTTTTCCCTAAATCCACTTCACAATCTCCAGAAAGCACTTGCCAGATTGGGATAACTGCCTCTTATCCTCTATCTACAAACACAGCTCATGCTTTTCAAAATAATTACTATTAATAGAAAAATGAGCACACATTTAGAAACTGTGGAAAAGAACTTAATGGAAGATCTGATTTGATCCAGCCAGAGAGGGTACACAGATTTCTAAGATTAGGACCGTAGACCTCCTTCTGTTACTAGGTAAATTCTCATGGCTGATTCCAACTCAGAATAGATTCAGAAAGTTTGCCAGGAAATCTATGGTATTTCCAGCTACACAAACAGAAAAATATAACCAAAGAACAGTTCTTGCGGGTCATAGCTGAATGAATTCATAAGCACAACAGAACAAGCCTGTACTAATCAGAGTACTGCATAAGAAATAATTCTCAGATCAATTAACACCGAAGAAGGCATCCTAAGAAATAAAATCTCCTTTGCAAGGCAAATAGCCTGTCACCTACACACCTTAACCCAGACTACTAACAAAGTACTTCTTAGCAGCATGCTCTTCTTGACAGTCAGAGAAGTACTTTACCTTGTAAAGGGATCGGAGGATTTTCCTACTTCCTCACACTCCATGTGAAACACACGAGAGAAAGAGTCCTGAAAACAGAGTGACAACATCATTGAGACATGTACAAAGCCATGGAAACCACAACACACACACTCACATACACAGACACACACACACATAGAGACACACACATACACTGTGCAACGTTAGGGTGCCAGTACTCGAACGTATTTCCCTTACTCTTGAACCAAATGGATCCAAGTGCTAAATTCACAACATCCTCAAAGATTCTTTCTATTATTAAAGGCTCACATTATTTCTGAATTTACCTGAAGAAAGTTTTCAAGTATACACTTCTGCGGCTAGTAAAAATCAGGCCTTTTCTTATGCATATGTCCGTGTGTGTGTGTGTGTGTGTGTGTGTGTGTGTGTGTGTGATTAATGTGCCTATGTGTTCATGAGTATGCATGTGTGTGCATGTGTCTTCATGAGTGTGTGTGAGTATGCATATGTATTTGTATGTGTATAACTGTGTGTTCATGAGTATGTGTATATGCAACTGTGTGTTCATGTGTGTGCCTGTGAGAGAGAAGGTGTGTGTGAGAGTATGTGTGAGAGAGAAAGAGTATGTGTGTGTAAGAGTGTGTCTGTGTGAGAGGGGGTGTGTGAAAGAAAAAGTGTGTGTGAGAGAGAGCGAGAGAGCAAGAGAGAGCAAGAGAGAGAAAGTGAGAGAGAGTGAGCGAGAGAGAGAGACAACGAACAAATGAGAGAGAGAGAGAGAGAGAGAGAGAGAGAGAGAGAGAGAGAGAGAAAGAGAGCGAGCGCCAGAGGGCAACCTCTGGTTTCGTTCTCAGCTCGGCCAACCTGTCTGTCCGTAGAGCCCTGAGGATCCTCCGGTCTCTGCCTCCCAAGCACTGGGGTTCCAAGCTTGCCCCAACATTTAGGCATTGCTATGTGGCTTCTGATAGCACATTTGGATTCTTAAGCTTTCAAGACAAGGACTTTGCTGGCTCAGCTATTCCCCAGCCCATAGAACTCTTTCCTAAAGAGATATACCATTTTGCAATATTTAACAAGGAAAATAAAATAATTACAAAGACTTTGGTGATATCAGGAAATAGTTTTACCTTATATTACAAAACAAAATTCATATTGCTCCAATCTGTACAAACAAGAGAATGAAGAGAGACTGGAAAGAAACATTCCATTTGGGAATGCAAAAGCTTAGCATATTTTGAGGGAGCTTACATTTTTATTTTTACTATCGCAGTAGTTTTAATCCACAAATAGTAGAATTATCAACTCAGTTCATTTCTTTTCTAAACCCAACAACTCATTCTTTTTCAAAACAGGTCAGAATATATTCTTAACAATATTATTGAGCTGAGAGTCAAATCACACTGATCCAAATCCACTTGTTACCAAGAGAGATATTAACTGTTAAAAACTCCACTGAATGTTCATAAAGTAAGATTTAAGTTTTTAAAAGTGAATGCTTCTATAGAAAAATTTAAAAAAAAATTGAAAGCTAGAGAGCAGATCACTGAAGGAAATGACAAGCTGGTATATGGAATTAATGAATTCTGACATGAACTTTAAAAAGCTAGCAACTATCTTGTAATCATTTTATGTTAAATATTTTAGAGGTGAATAGAAATATAAAATAGTAGCTACCCATGAAAATACTGATTATTGTCTTGGCACAGTGAGTTTTTATTTGATAAACTGTTAATAAGAGTTTCACCCTAATCAATGCAGCATTCTAGCACACACATTAAGAGGATAATGACTTGTCGAAATATCTAAGACAATTAAAAATTTAATATGATCGAATGTCTTTTATTATTCTACTTCTACCAGAAATGTCAACTCAGATAGCCTATATGAATTATAATTGACCTATTCAAGTGATAGTGCTAGTCTTTTTCCCTAATAACCTACTAATGAATAGTCTCTTAGACTATAGGAAGAACAACTACCACCATAAGGAATATTCCATGGTTCAAACAATAAGGAGGGATAAAATCTGCATTTTATCCCTGTGGCAGGCCAGTGGTCTGATTCTCAGGCAAACTCTAGGCAGATATTATGAATAACTTTTAAGAGTAAGTCCCCAGCCCTGTGAGAGTGCTCCTTCTCCATCACCAGGGAAAGCTTCCTAACAACAGAGATAAAGGAACTAAAAATCTCTGTTAGAACAGTGAGCCGTTTCCTATTGTTGGGAAATGATACAGGACGTACAAACTCCTTTAGTTCTACCCAGCAGCTGCCTAGACCTTCTGTTCATTTTTCTAAATAATTTCTGGTAAGACAGAAACTTTTAAACTCCACCCATTCAGAATGGAAGTCTACCTGTTTTAGACACCAAGGCACCACCGCTCTTAATGGTTTAGTCTCCACAGTGCAATACAAGTTGTTTTCCCATTAAGACAAAGCAGCAACAGGGAGGGGTAGCACAGAGAAGAAATCCATAGTTAGTGGCGGGACACTGAAGGCTCTTGCTATCCTCACCTTCAACCTACTTCATACACAGTGCACCTTTGCATTGGTTTTGCATCAATATTTATATGCACTGGGGTTTGGGTGGGTTTCTAAGGAAAGACAGCATTTGAAATCAGAATGTGCTTTCAAGGAATCAAGTCTCCATTTTGCAAAACCCAAAGTTCCTCTCTGTACTCACAGGACAGTCTTCATCCACAATGAAGATGGTGCACTTCTGCACCTGCATGAAGGAGATAATAGTGGCAGCTATTTTCTTCAGAATGACTTCTAGTGACTGCTGCTCTTCGAAAATTAAGCTAGCAAGGTCAAGTAACACCTGGATGAGAAAAGGTGACAGATCATGGTTGTGCACGAGCAAGTTCCCACTCAAGGATTATTAAATCCATGTCTGTGTAGCTAGCTAAAACAACCCTGCACAGATTATACAGGCAGTATAGTAGAACGGTCATAGGGATTTAGACTAATATAACCAGTTCCTAATTCTTCCTAGTTTGGTAAGCTGGGGCAAGTTTGTAAATGTGTATTATTGGACTTTTGTCGGGATTATAAAGCATAATATTTACTAGATGTGTTGAACAATATCTACCTGATGGTGAATGGTTATCATCGTTACAAACTTCTGAGATCGGGATTACCAACATTGTTAATATTTCATAAAGTACAAAGGAAACAGAGTTTTAAAAATCCTCTTTCCTGTCCCTCAACTCTGGTCTCTTCAGATTTATCCTTACTCCTGCTGCAGCCTGCCTATAGAAGCCACTCCTCAGGCCCCCCTCATCTCCTAGGGACTAGACCTCCTGTTGCCAATCCAAGACACTCCCACCCCTTGAGTTCTTCCCTCTAATTTAACTCCATTTTTTTGTGACTCCCTGGAGACCTGGAGAACAGATCTCTAACTGAGCCACCAGAGCTACCATGCTTGGCTAGGAACCAGAGTGGGAAACGCAACCAAAGAACAGAGCACCCACCGAATAAAGACAGGACCAGATATCTACTACAAGGAACATGTAAAACATCATTATTCTAGATGCTTTGGTCTCAGTGCAAAATACAAAAGAGAAACAATAAAGACCACATGCCCCCCTCCCCTTGTAAAACATGCTATAAAAAAGCATTTCATGTTCAAAAAAAAAAAAAAGAAATTAAAAAAAAAAAAGACCACATGCCTTCTCCAGAGACCAAAAACCCTATGATATTAACCCCTCCCCGCCCCAAAACAATTAGATGAACCACAAGGCAAGGATTTCAAACAGTAATTGCTCAAGAACTTTATAGAAAATGTGAATAAACATCTCAATGGAGATCGTTAAAGTACAAACAGCTGAATGAAATAATGAAAACATTCAAGACCCGAAAGTAGAAGTAAACAAAGAAACGGAGTCACTAAAGAAAATCCAAACTGAAATAAAACTGGAAATGAAAGCTCTGAATGTCAACCAAAAACCTCAGAGATAAGCCTCACCAACAGATTAAATGACAAGGAAGACAGAATATCAGGTCTTGAAGACAAGGTCGAAGGCATGAATAGCTCAGCCAAAACAAAATAAACAACAACAAAAACCAAGCACAAACATGAATTCTGGGACACTATGAAAAAAAACCCCACCCCAACAAGAAGAAAACAAAGAACGACACAAAAATGTATTGAGGGAAAATATGAAACTCAAGTCAAAGGCACAGTAAATATTTAACAAGATCAAAGGGGGAAAAACCTCCCTATATCTAGAGAAAGATGTGTCGAAGAATGCAAATGAGAGAAGCCTCATTGAGAAAGTGTGGTCTCCCTGGAGGAGGTGTGTTACTGGGTGTGGGTTTTGATGTTTCAAAAACCCACGCAAGACCCAGCCTGTCTGTCTCTGTCTGTGTTTCTCTGTCTATCTCTCTGCCTGTCTCTCTCTGTCTCTTTATCTCTGTGTGTCTCTCTGTCTCTCTGCCTGTCTGTCTTTGTCCCTGTCTCAGTCTGTCTCTGTCTCTCTCTCTCTCCCTCTCTCTCTCTCTCTCTCTCTCTCTCTCTCTCTCTCTCTCTCTCCCTGTCCCTGTCCCTGTCCCTGTCCCTTCCCCTCTCTCTCTCCCCTCCTCCTCTGCTACCTACAGACAGGATAGGATATGCTCTCCTCTCCTCTCAGCTACATCCCCTGCACCACGTCCGCCTGCATGCCATTATATGTCATAATAACAGATTAATCTTCTGAACTGTAAGCAAGCCCCCAATTAAATGTTTACTTTTATAAGAGTTGTATAAAGTCATGGTGTCTCTTCACAGCAATAGAACAGTAACTAAGGCAAACATCTTGCATCCTTTCTGACCATCATGGATTCATTCCATGATGAAGTTGCCTTCATTCCAGGGATGCAGGACTGGCTCAGCATTTGTAAGTCAGTAAAGTAATGTTCAACACAAATAGACTCAAAGATAAACACTACATAATCATTTGACCCAGAAAGGCCTGTACACAATACAACATGCCTTCATGATAAGTTCTGAGAAGGTTAAGGATACAAGGAACATAATGCAACACAATAAAAATATTTATAGCAAGCCCACAGCTGATATAATCATAACAGAGAAAACTCCAGGAATTTCAATATTTAAGTTGTTCACTCTTCCATAACTATTCAATATACTACTTGAAGTCTTGGCTAGGGAAACAGGTGAAGGAGATCAAGGGAGTATGAATAGAAAAGGAAGAAGTCAATGTATTTTTATCTGCAGGTGGTATGATTTTATGCTTAAAAGGCCCCCAAAATACCCTACTAGAAGACTTCTAAAGCAGAAACATCTTCAGCAAAGAAGCAGGACAGACAATTAACACACAAAAATCAGCAGCCTTCTTATATACAAATGGCAAACATACTGATAAATAAACCAATGAAATGATACCTTTTGTAATAACTTCAAAAAACAAGTATCTTGGAATAACTCCAAACAAGTGAAAGATTTGTAACATAAACATTTTCAGACACTGAAGAAAGAAATTGCAGAAGATGGAAGAGGATGGATCTCTCAAGCCCACATCTGGGTAGTATTAATACTGTGAAAATGGGCATCTTACCAAAAGCAGTTTACAGATTCAATACACATATGTGCATTGCACAATGCACAATATACATATTCAAAGCGCATATGTGCTTCTTGTTTTGTTTTATTGTTTTTGTTTTTGAGGGGGGAGATACATATACATATACATACAATCACACACACACACACACACATATATATATATACATATATATATATATATATATATATATATATATATATATAGAGAGAGAGAGAGAGAGAGAGAGAGAGACAGACAGTCGGGAGATGAGGAGGATGTAAGAGGAGTTGAAGAAGGAAAAGAATATGACCCAAATATATTTTGTGGAAAAAAATATTAAGTTCCCTCTGAGCCTTCCTAAGTATTATCTTCTGCTTCTTGTTGGCATGGACATCTTTGCAGATTCTCACAAAGAATGTATATGATGAGGGTCAGAAAGAATTTTTCTCCAGAGGGACTTGCTGCATGAGACACTATTCTAACTGAACTTGGGAGGAAAGGATTCAGTAAGATGGACTTGGGGAAGGAAACATTTCAGAGAAGAAGTGAAATGAATTATGGGAGCACATGGATCAGAAGGACAAGCAGGGAGACAAGAATCCTCAAGAGCAGAGTCAGGCCCACCAAGTCTCACTCCAGGGGACGTGGATCGTGACCACGCAGGAGGGATGTGGTGTTATCACAGCTGTATTTGTAAAATTAACTGGAATAGAAGGTGATGAGATCAGAGTAGGAGATACGGAGAGTCCTCTGGTTTGAGAACACTGGCTCTTCCTCCCTTTTTCCCTTTTTTGGTGCTGCGAATTGAACTTTGGACTTCACCCGTGGTGGTCAAGGGGCCTGCCACTGAGATAGAGATAGCAGTGATTGTGAAAAGAGAAAACAGAGTATGGACAAGTTTATGGATTAAAAAGTCATGAAAAATGATTACATGAAACTGAAGGTTTCCTTAAATCTCCAGTCTGAACCAGATGACCTGACATACAGGCATGGTGAGAAGAGACCTTATGAAACTGTTACGAAAACAAAGCCAAGCATTACACAAAGCTTAGAAATAAAATCATATAAGATAATACAGGTCCCATTTTATATACAACAGATAAATACACACAAAGCATTTGTAAAGAACCAAGAGTCAGAACCTGAATGCTCATCAGAAGACTGATGACCCTTAAAATCAGAGAAACTCAGCTTTCAAATTTACAGCTTCATAGCAACCAGAGGAACGTGATGGTAAATTAAGTATCTCCATACATGCAAGGATTCACAAAGACTACCTCATCCATGCTGTTTCTCAGACATTTAGCTGAGAACATGCTGAAGCAAAACAGGATTTAAGTGAACAAGAAGGCGAGAGAACCAGAAAATACAATTTTCCTAAGAGAAGCTTGAAGGAATGTTGCATGTTGCTGTACGCACACCAGGCATAAAGTGGGGCTTGAGGGGTGACAGAACATATGAAAAATCCTTAATTTAGACATCCGAAAAAAAAGAAGAACTCTAGGAAATGTGTGAGAGAGTTGAGTGTGTGTGAAGGGCAGGAAAAGAAGATTACATTAGAGCAAACAGTTCCAAGAAACAAGGGAGAGAAGTAATAACTATTGCGGGAAAAGGAAAGTTATACAGCAAAAGCAATACAGATATGTATATAGTATCATTACAAATTAGAATTAACATAAACAAAACTTAAGAACAGTTCATCTTGGCTGTAGACTAATATGTATATTAGCAACTTCAGCAATGAATAAGAAAAAAGTTTCAGATAGCAGGTCTAAGAAACAGGATTGCGGAAAGACGTTAAGGAAGACCAAGGATATGAAGATGCTCCCCTGGTAAACTATGGAACGGAGTAATGCCTATAGTGAAAGAGCAGCAGCTAAAAACATTATTTAATGACACGAATTCGTCTGCGTCTCTGAAGGCAAAGAACACTGTCTAACAGCTATGGCGCTTTGGAGCATGGAACACCGAAAAGGAAATGGCCATCAGAAAGAAACAGCAAAAGTGTTTACAAGACCAAGTCGAGTGAATTGAATTTTAATTGCTTACATTCATAATTAGGATAAAAACTTAACTGTTTTTTTTTTAATGGTCTGCCTTGATCTCTTTAGAAATGACACTTACCTGATTTCTTTTGTTCTCCAGCAGTGACGTCTCATAGAGTTGAGCGTTGTGAAGAACAATACCACAAAATGCCAAATAGGCTGCAAAGTCCTAGAAAAGACAACAGCCAGGTTGGAACTTCCTGTAAAACTGTCTAGAAACACTGCCTGAAACATAATAGTACTTGTGGTTGAAGGAAATATGAAACACTGAAATGTATATGCTTGCTATGCACACAAAGGTAGGAACTGATGGAAGCTGAGTGTTAGCCAAACGGCACAGGTAAACAGATGACTGAGAATCCGGTCTTATGTTATATGAGGAGAGGCATTGAAGTGATGATTGTGTATGAATTTACAATTTTTCTCTATGTAAGATTTGGTGTAGATTGGGCACGGCACTAAGATGCAAGCCTGTGAGGGATTAAATAAGCAGCTCATAGTTTATTATAGAAACAAATGAAAACTCGCATATTTAAGAGACCATTGGCTGTAACAAGTTGTTACATAGGGCTACAAGTGTTAGTCTAAATACATCTTTTGAATATGAATCTAGAATCTTTATTTCACTGCAATAGGGTGCTGTGCTGATGATTAAGTTAGTGATTAAAGCAATCTTTCAGGTGGCAGGATTTATTCACACCTATGGACATAGTTGGTCAAGATGTGATACAGTCTAACTATTTATTAAGAGCAGGTTTATTCCAATGGATTATATAAATGGTGGACATAAAGTTTATCTAATAATCATGCTTTCCTACCAAGTATTCATGTATACTTAATAGCATAAAAGTATACTGCTCTGACTTTAAAAAGGCACTTCCTATGGTCTGGATCAATTAAAACATGGGGGCTAGCATAGGTGTCAATACTGCTTTGTAATAGAAACATGAGTAATCGCCTTGTTTGAATGGCTTTCAAATTAAACACCAACTAGTTTTCAGAGCAGCAACATGCTAGCAATGGCTTGGGGCAGTGGAGATGCCATGGGCTGTGATAAGTGTATAATGCACATTCAATAGCTAACACTCATGTCTCTGGAGAAGGAAGGTATAGGCAGACCTAAGGGTGAGCAGGAATGGAATCTTGTCAGTGTGGAATGTGGAATGTTTTTCTTAAGACTTGGATAGGAACAGTAAGATAACACTGATTGCTGTTCTCTCGGAAGCTGAATTCCAATAACCCACCCAGAATTGACACCTTGGCACTCCTGTGTGAAGCTTATAAACTAGGAGATTTGCTTTACTGTCAGGAATGTGCCCGTTTTCAGCCACTGCAGGGTGCAGGGCTTAGAGAAATCCTTTTTCTCCCTCAAGGATGAATGTTTGTACAGCACTTACAGAAAGTACAGTGAGAACATTAGAACACAGAGAGACCCTTCATGTGCACCCAGCTCAGGGGAAGGCTGGCTGGTAGTTCTGTGAGGAGAGAACACGGGGTTCCTGATGACACGCAAGCACCCTCAGGTCAGGCAACATTCTAGTTAGCTGAAAACATTCTTCTAAAATTCATGTCATCTTTTTCCTCTTGAAAAGTATTTTGTTGAGAATTTCACAGATGAGCACTGTAGTTGCATCCCTTCCCTCCCAGCCTCTTGCTTCTCCAACTTCTCCCCCACCCCTTTCCTTAATCATTACAGATGTATAAAGGCTAGCGCACGCGCACACGTACACACACACACACGCACACACACACATTTTTAACTGTAATTTTTTTCAAGCAATCATTTCAGCAATGCCTTACTCCAGAAGTCATAGGCTCTAGAGAGAATGCGTCTCTCTAAGCTGGCATCATGCCATCTCTGGTTTTGTTACCTTTTCATCTTTTTCAGTGAAGGTCCCACCATTTCCTGATTTCTTGTTGATGGCCTGAGCTACACCAACGACCTAGGATAAGAAGAAAAAAGTGACACCATTTTTTTTCATTCTCTTCAATTCCTCAAAGTCAATGTGCTTACAGAGGACACAGGCTGTTTAAAAGCATGAAGCTGCAAAGCTAAAACAAAACTCCTGAGTCTAGCCTTCTATTCTTAGTAAGGGTAGTAATAGTCCTAATTTCCTAGAGCCCAAACCTCATTGGACTTTGGAGCTTCATCTTACAACTAGATTAAGCTAGTGGGTGGTTGTGTTTTAAGTAAATATTCTGCATAGTTTTCTGGTACAGACACACAAAAAGCAGAACCATCTTTTACATTTCCAATAAAATATATAATTAAACAAACATTTTACACTGATTTAGAGTATTCAAAAAGGCTCATTCACTAAACATGAAGCAGGACCCAGCAGCCTGCTACAGAGGAATGCCGGCGAATCATTAGTGCAAGAATTTCTCATGCAGGAATGTAGCTCAGCTTCTTTTGAAACCCTGGCCTTGAAAATTATTTGACCTTCAACAGAATTATTTTTGGGAAAAGAAGTTATTAAAAAAAAACCAAAACAGGAATTAACAGGCAAAGCCTACTTTCACATAGGTCAGAAGGAATTTGAAAGATAAACTGTACTTAAGTTGGCCAAGCTAAACTTGGCCCGTAAGCCTTGAGTTCCACAAAAGGTTTTGAAAGACCTGAAGAAGCCTCTCATCGGTCGGCTTCGGGGCTGTTATACTCCTTCAGTTCTAGCTTCAGGTTGAGGAATTACTTCAAGTCTGTAACAACTTACAACTTACTTCAGCTCCCGCTTAATATGAATTCTACTGCTTCATTCTTTTCCCAATTTAGTCTTATCAAGATAAATCACTTCCCCCCAAGTGCTCCCACTTTAGGAAATGCAGCCTGAACTCTGTATGGGAAGTTCTTCTTTGTTCAGTCCAATCTAATTCTCTACCTACAAGAAAATGATACAAAGCTCCCCCTTCGGAGGGCAGAGAGAAAAAGGTACTCTCAACACTGACTGTTTCTTTGTTTTTTTTCTCTCCTTTACTGTATCATAAAATAATAATATACTTTTTTTTAAAAAAAAAAAAAAAGAGAGAGAGAATTACTCATTTATCCTAACTGCCTTTGTTGCTCTTGGTTTGACTCACCCTGACTTTCACAGGCCCCTTGTATACTCTTAAAGTCTCTAGATGCTCTCGTCTTAATGACAAATGCTGGGGAAAGGTTTGGCACAGGTCAAGCATGTCTGGTTTATAGCTAGGTATTTTCACTGGAAACAGAACTGATGAGAACAACCCAACCGAGCCTAATGTAGCAATGCAAGTCTAACCTGCTTTTAAACATTCATTCACTCGTTCATTCATTCATTATTCAACAAGTGCTAAACTGCCTACTAAAAATCAAAGAATAACAGATGGAAGTAAAGGGTACCCGGAAGGAGTTCAGAGTTCAGTGGGCAGAGAATGACCCATGCAGAAGCAGTATGCCTTGTGGTGAGTTTTATGGTACAGTTGCCCATCTTGGGGGACACAGTAGTGGGGCACTTCTCAGAAAGTTCACTCGTAACATGTTCACTCAAAAACTCAGTTACTTAAAAACTGACCCCAAATCAAATTAGAGTAACCTTTTAGTCTATCAGTATGCGACCATAAATTGACAGTGAGATAAGTCAACATTAAAGTCTTAAAAGAAACAAAATCAGCTGTCGAACTCTGAAATCTAGAGTTATCAAAGCCATATTGTGATTTGATGGTCTCAGGGACACATGAGGCTCCCTGGGGCTCTCCCTTTATTCAAATCTGTGTTCCAATTTCTCTCTCTTTTTTCCTCTCCTCTTTCATTTCACCCCTCCCCCATCTCTCTTTGGTTTCTTGATTGAGACACAGTCTCTCTCTATATGCTGGGACACCTTTGACCTTGGAGCAATCCTCCTGCCTCCACCTTTCATATGCAATGCTTGCTGGCATAAGCTTCTGAACTTTCCCTTTCAACTTGTTTTAATTTACAGTTTTGACAGGGATATTTATAAATAAGCATTATTTGTGATTTAAAGTTTTCTTTCTGGTTGAAAAAACATATCTTTGAAGCCATACCTTATCTGGTCTCTCTCTCTCTCTCTCTCTCTCTCTCTCTCTCTCTCTCTCTCTCT